CCTACCTAAAACGGCTCGTTCTAACACGCCCCCACATATCTACGTCACTATTTGGGCGGCGTTATGCAACTCTTCCCAAATGAGGTATGTGGGGGCGTGTTAGAACGAGCCGTTTTAGGGGGGCGTGGCAGAGTCTTAACTTTGATAAAGAATATCTCTTTGGTTTTGAGACTTTAGTCTTTGCAACTTCAGGGATCTTATCTATGCACAATCAGCTTGTAACACTCCAAAGAGAAAGGAAAAATTGAAATCGCATCATATGACCCCTTTAAACCGACTCCTCTCATCCACTGAAGATTCGTCCTAATAGAGATTCTGATAAACCAAAAGAATGTTGCAATCGCCCTCGCCATGCAACTTCGACCCAAATCCACACAAAGAATGCAAAGAGCGTAGAATATGCTGGTGTGAAATCTAACATTATTTTGGAGGGCTGCAGCTTTAAATATTTTTATACAAGCTCAGTGCCAGATATTGCATTATATTTGTCGTAAAAGACAGCTGTTGGGCTGGTTGTCCCGTGAGTGGAGAAGCTCAGGCAGTGTGAACGTAGGGTTTGAGAGTGAGATCTCTGACCAGGTGGCGGCACTGACCCTCACATTCCTGCATCAGCAGCTGCTTCATCCTGAGGCAGAATTAGACACTACGCCATGATAGGTTTCTCTCTCTAGGCTAGAAAGACTGTTTTGTGTTAAAGGGATAGTTCACCCAAAAATTAAAATTCTGTCATTAATTACTCACCCTCATGTCGTTCCAAACCCGTAAGACCTCCGTTCATCTTCGGAACACAAATTAAGATATTTTTTATGAATTCTGACAGCACTCCGACCCTCCCATAGACAGCAAGGGTACTACCACGATCAACGTCCAGAAACGTAGCAAGGAGATCGGTAAAATAATCCATGTGACATCAGGGGTTCAACCATAATATTACGAAGCTACAAGAATACTTTTTGTGTACGCAAAAGAAAAAAAAAACGACTGTATTCAACAATTCGTCGCCCTATACCGCCATTTTGGAGAGTATCCACTGAACGCAAACAGAGTATGTTGTTCTGTGTCAGCCGCACCACACGAATACGTTTTCTACGTTGTTTGTGCTTTGATTTGAACG